TGTTCCTTTGCCATGTGAACTTCGATCAGCTGACCGAGTCGGAACGTTTGCTTCGAAGTGAGCAAAAGAGGTGAACAGAACTGTGATTATGAATGTTCATTTGCCATGTGATCTTCGATCAGCTGACCGAGTCGCAACGTTTGCTTCGAAGTGAGCAAAATAGATGAACAGAAGTCTGATTATGAGTATTCGCTTGGAATGTGATGTTTGGTCAGCTGACTGAGTCGCAACCTTTGCTTCGAAGTGAGCAAAAGAGGTGAACAGGAGTCTTATGAGTAATGTTCGTTTCGGATGTGATGTTCGATCAGCTGATTTAGTCGCAATCTTTGCTTTGAAGGTAGCAAAAGAGATGAACAGTAGTATCTTGATGAATGTTCGTTTGTTATGTAGTATTCCATCAGCTGACTTAGTCGCAACCTTTGCTTTGAAGGGAGCAAAAGAGATGAACAGTAGTATCTTGATGAATGTTCGTTTGTTATGTAGTATTCCATCAGCTGACTTAGTCGCAACCTTTGCTTTGAAGGGAGCAAAAGAGATGAACAGAAGTCTGATTATGAGTATTCGCTTGGAATGTGATGTTTGGTCAGCTGACTGAGTCGCAACCTTTGCTTCGAAGTGAGCAAAAGAGGTGAAGAGAAGTATCTTGATGAATGTTCGTTTGGCATGTGATATTTTATTAACTGATTGAGGCGAAGGTTTTGTTTGGAAGTGAAGGCAAAACGTGTTTAAGGTGCTTGTTTGTGTGATAATAATCGATTATATTTGATTATAAGGGGGTAAGTGTTGGGAAACTTGTGTGAAATGCTATTTGGTAGAGGGATAAAGGTATACTTGCGGTAGGAAAATCGTACAATGATTCCATGTAGAAGGTGTTAGTAAAGTTTTGGCTGCTAAGATATCAATGGAGCAACGATTCCCAGATGCAGAATGTTTGAATATCTGAGAATTTGGAGTCAGTGGCGGGTTGGGAAAGGGAGTAATAGTGTGTGTAAGTTGTATATTTATATGGGGTTTGGGGTGGACGGTCGATTTCATTGGACGTCCCTGTGGGTTTGCGTTTTTTTTTCTGTTGAGGGACATTAGCTTGTCGTGTTTCAGTCAGAGTGAGGAAGAGAGTTGGGGCGCGCTCTGTGTTTTGTTTGTCTTGCAATGTTTTTCTTTGTTTGTGTTGGATTTCGTAAGGTATGAACGTGGAATAGGTGTTGGCGCGCTGTGTATGAGTAATAGGAGACTTCTGTTGGGATGCTGTAGTGTGAGTGTAAGGCAATACCAATATAATGCTGGACTTGTAATTGACGGAAGTTCATGGAAATTGTTGTTTGCAAACATTAATGATAAATGGCATTCAGTGGGTATGCAACGGTGGCAGTAGCTGGTCCTCAAGAAATCCGGTAGATTAGTACATCGCTTCTCTGCAGTTGGCGATAACAAGGTTGAAATCGGCTTGAAATGGTGAAAGTTATTGTCTGAACTCACTACTACTAACAAATGTGAATCAGAATGAATGAGGAATGGTAATAAATTTTCGATAGACGATTCAATTTAACGTATGGTATTTGTTTGGAGAAAGTGTTGCTCTTGTCTTTTTCGCTTTAGTATTGTTCTGTTTTCGATTGACTCACAGAAAATCCATTTCACATATGTTATTCATTGAGTTGGTTAAGCTGTTATTGTAAGAAGTCTGAGAGAATGATAGCAATGAGTTTGGTATTTTGTGAGGCTTATATCGTACAATAGTTATCTCAATATTTCCTCTGTACATAAAGATACATGTTTTAAGATCGGAATCCTAATACTTTCGGATTGTTCGATTTATTTCTTTTTATACCTAACAGTATCGGGATTAGATGAGATTTTAGAATGAATATTTTATATAAACATCATAAGACTCCTATAAACAATATCTTTTGATCAAATTTTTGAATATTCACGAGAGTTGTTTGGTTAAATGTAGCTTCATAGTAATTCTTTTCAGTGAGGGAAATAACCAGTAGGAGCTACTGTGACTATACCGAAGAGGAAACAGCTGATATTGTTGATTTTGATGAATTTAAATCATAAAAACCAGTTTAATCAGAAAAATTAAAAATCGCTTTTTTGAAAGGTCTGGTTTTGTAGGCTTTGTGCCTTAACTTTGAGTATTTTCTTATAATGTAAGTTTGCAAATGGGACTTCGTTGTTGAATCAGGACGATTCATGCTTTTAGAGGATGAATTGTGTCATAATAGCTTTAAAAAAGTGATGTTTTGGTTTTTACGATTACTTTGCTTTTTTTGAAGTTCTTGGTTGCACTACTTTTTTTTGATTGAATTGATTTTTTTGATTTAAAGTCGACAGAAAATGTTAAAAAACAAGTGTTTATTCTTCGATTTCTAATCAAAAAAAGTCAGATTTCAGGTGCTTTCGCCTTAGACTTGACATTTATCTGGAGCTAAGTAGTGATCGATTGATAAATCTTTAAAGTTTGTTTCCATTTTTCTGGAAATTCTCTATACAGCAATTCGTGTGTCTTATAGATTAGGTTAAACTAAGCTTAGCACATGTTTGCACGCATACATCATTTGATCATTGCTTTGAAACTAACCATGTGGCCTCTATACTACACAAATTGAGCTAAATACTGGTGACTACATAGATGCACTTCTGCTTGTCGTATGGAAAGTAACATGCTTATTGTAGTAATAAATGGGATAGCTTCTATTACCAGAGTTACAATTTGTATAAACATACATCATTGCGGTACGGTGTTCTGTATGTCGCTGTGGCCATTAAAGAATAGAAGATGATAACCAACGTCAACACTCACAGTAGGGATCTGCCAGTACCAGCTAAATGGGTACCCAATAGATATGTCACTTTAACTATACTTTCAAAGTTAAAGGTAAAGTTATACTTTAAACGTAAAACTTTAATTTAAAGTAACACACTTTACAAGTTTAACTTAAAAAAAAATCCAAGTTAAATTACGAATGTTTAGAATGTTCTCGATAGTCATTGTTGATCCGTTACTTGACATAATAAATTTTTTGTCCTAAAAAAGTCATTACTTCGTGTCCTCTTTCATATGACCCAAACAACAGTATATTTTGTCCTTACAAAGAAGAACAAGCTTGGATGAATCCGATTGGTTGACAAAGAAGCCTCAACCAATCAGATGTTAATAAAGTTTTTCTCTGCTATTGTAAGGACAACACATACTGTTGTTGAAGCCACGTGAAAGAGGACGTCAGATTACTCTCCAATGGTCCGAACAACACTATGCTTGGTTCTTACAATAGCAGATAAAAACTCTACTAAAATCTGATTGATCAAGAGCTTTTTTTATGAAATAATCATATTCAAGCAAGCTGATTTTTCTCTTTTTCCAGGACAAAACGTTCTGTTATTCGAGTCGTATGACAGAGTACAATGATAACTCTTGAAAAACTCAATATTTTGGAAGAAAATTTTGACTATTAGGTTTTTGGAATCGGACACACATCTACAAATCTTAGCAAGATCGGCTGGTCTGGGACGAAAGGGTGTGAGTGGGTGTGGGTGGGTGTGGGTGTGGGTGGGTGTGGGTGTGGGTGTGTGCGAGTGTGGGTGTGGGTGTAGGTGTGGATGTGAATGTTTGTTTTTGCCCATAGTCACACCCACACCCACACCCACACCCACACCCACACCCACACCCACACCCACACCCCACACCCGAAATATCACCGCTCAGACTTTTTCCATTTTTAAATATCAAATCAAATCTTTCATACCTGTTAGTGTTGTTGATTAGTAGCAACTGTGCTAACGAAGAATGATTTGATTTGAAACTTAGCCTCCTGTCCAATTTATAGAATTAGGAATCGTTTATTTGTATATTTGTTTTATCTGTAGGTCAGATCTAAAATCTCCAGAGCCGAGTGTCTCTGATACTTCGCCTGCTTCAAAACGACCAAGTATGTCCACTGATGTAAGTGAACGAATATTTTCTTTTTCGAAATAGTCACGACAACTAAACAACATTTCAAACCAACCATACGTTCTACAGAACACGTGAAACTCGTCAAAGTATGATCAATATAATGATCGAACACATTATGAAATATTTCTTGTTTTATTTCATAGCGACAAACGCCTATAAAATGCATTACAATAGAACCTGCTTCCAACTGTTGCAACGAGTTAGTTGGTCTCATTCTCGAATATGGCGATGAAAGTTTCGTCTATCAAGGTAAACATGTATAGAAAATATATCTTGATATAAATTAATTTTATTTAAAGGAACATCAAGGCAACCAAAAACTTTCAAAAGAAATATCAATATTACAGTTATCTCTCTCGATATAACATTACCATCATTTGAGACAACTGTTAGTAAAAATTTCGAAATCGATTCATTCGAAGATGAATGTTTTTGTATATCGAAACTATTATCAATTAAAGATAAACTAATTTATTTTGTGGTGTCAGCTACTCTTGGTGAATTTGTTGTGCCACTGATACACAAACATAGATGCATTGAACAAATATATATCTATCAAGATTCAAATGATGAAGATATTAAATGGCTAGATAATTATTCAAAAATTTCTGGAAATGGATCATCGATTAGTCTTTTATTAGAGCGAATTCAAAGAGATATTGATTCGATTATGCAACGTCCTTCTCGTTGGTCAAGATCCAAAACATTATTAACTGAGTTAACTTTACAGACTTCACAAACTGGTCTTTTAACATCGATCAAAGAGATGCCCAAAGAAGACGTGAACATGTTACGCATTGTCACACTGTTTTTCGGTACACATCGATTATTCTCTCGATCACAAAGTCACATTAAAATCGACGAATTCAATGACCTGGATGAATGCATTTGGTCAATTACAACTGAAACTTCCATTACTTTTTTTCTAATAATTTCTATCGATGGATCCGATGATATGTACTCATTATTTGAATTGGATAATATTCATGCAGTTTACATCATTTCCGACGGTGACTATAATGAACAAATCGAAGCAATATCAATGCATCCTAAAGTTAGCGGTGTTTTTGGTTTAGATGAAGATTTACTTGAACAACTAACAAGAGATATTTGTTTTTATCGACATATGCGAGTTTGTACACCGACAATGAATATCTTTCAGATTGGATCCAATATTATTGATAATCCTGATGAACAACAAATCAACTTTCTCTGTTTTCAATTATTTAGTGACATTCTTCCAGAACTACCAACACAATTAGGTGCAACTGCTGAACAGAAAGCTGAACATATTAGTCGATTACTTTCTCTTCTTATTGGCGCAAACATGAATATTAATTATCTTTTCAAACAATTCGATAGTTCCACATTGCACAAATCTGTATCACATTTACAAGCGTTCAATCAACGCGTAATGGCTTCGACAAACACCTCCAATTCATTTTCTGTTACGGTCTATCGAGCTCAACTAGTATCGAAGAAAGATTTAGAAATAATACAAACAAACCCACAAGCTCTTCTTTCTATACCAACATTCATTTTGGCTTCGCGATCTTTTCGTACAATAGCTAGTATTTGTCGTCGAGCAGCGGACAATCAACTTACGGTTATCCTGTTCGAACTAAACTTATCCGAGGATGTACCGAGAGCAGAATTGAATGCAGATATGATTGTTTTTGGTCTTGGAACACTCTTTCGATTAGTTTCCACTGAGTCAACACCTGATGGTGTTTGGCGAACTCAACTCGAATCAGCTGATAGAGCAATGCGACGTATTAAAGATCAATTGAAGTTAGAGGTTGGTGGTCACCTCACTTGGTTGACATTCGGGAATTATTTGATTGCTCTAAAACGAGTCGATGCTGCTGAAGAATACTATAAATATCTTTTGCAAGTACTACCATCTGATCATTCAAGTCTTGCATCAATCTACAATAATATGGGTTTGATGTATTCAATGAAGGAAAATGATCAAGAGGCATTAAGGTGGTTTGAAAAGGCATTGAAATTGAAAGTTACAGAGTTGTCAACAACAGTTACACAGAAAAAGCCGTCAATGGAAGATGAATCACCACTTCAACATACTTCCATCGACAGACTGACCATACTATGCAAATTGGCTGACTTGTACAATCGTCAAGAAAATCATTCAGAAGCATTGAACTATTATCGTCAAGCATTAGAAATTTCTACCGATGTTTCTTTGCGTTTGTTTTTGCAAGCTAAAATTGAAACTATTTTACTTTCTCATAATAATTCCTAAACTAAAAAAGAAATTTTATGTGATTATCATGGTTTTATCTATTCATTCTTACTCATTCTAGATAAAATCACCTAATAACGATCTGATAACAATCTTCTAATTCTTCAATTATTCCAAATATCGGTGTAGTTCAAAATGACGTCAAATATTCCAAATTTAATGACTATTTGGTATTATGATGGACACATCTCGACTGATGTGCAACGTCAAATGAAAATACATCTTCATCAAACATTCAATTACTCTCGTATATTTCATTGTCTAGAAGATTTTACTGGTTATCTTGCAACTCCAATTGTTCAACATATTATTTTCATTATAACAAGCAAAGACGCAAAACATATCCAACGTATCGCCCAACGACGTCGACAATGTCTATTAGTTTATCAATTACCATTTGTCAATCAAAAATCTTCAACATCTTTAGATCCTGCATGTATGCACTCGAAGATAAAGACCAGTTTTGATACTATTATTCATGATTTGAATAAAGTCAATTTATCACCCGAGAGTGTTAAAGATTCAACGCTCGATAGAGAAACTGACATGGAGGACACAACGTTACCGTTCGGTATATTCAAATCAATACCTGCACAACATTCATTTTGCTATTTAAACAAAGAATCGCTCAAATTTCTTCTATGTCAATCTTTAATTGAGGTATTTATCAAAATGCCCTATGATCAAAGTGCATTTAAACACATGTGCGGTCTTTGTCGTATGTACTGCAAAGATAATCCGTCGGAGATTGATCAATTTGAAGACAATTATCACCCAACGAAGGCCATATATTATTATACTCGTGCCTCTTTTCTTTTTCGAGTTATCAATCAAATATTGCGACTCTATGATGTTGATCGTATATATCGATTTGGTTGCTATATGGCTGATCTACATAAACAATTAGAAGACTTAGGTAATAAACAAAGATGTGATTCGAATCAAACTATGAAGAAAGTCTATCGTGGCAAAAAACTATCCACTGACGTTTTACAACAATTAAAAGATAATATCGGACATCCTATTTCTATGAATGGACTCCTTTCAACAACGGAACATTGCGATGTTGCAAGGTGTTTTGCCGGGATGGAAGGTATTCAAAATGAATATCAGAGCGTGATATTTGAGATGCACATTGATAACACGGCGAAGTTAACTAGACCATATGCAAATGTCTCAGGACTAAGTGCTATGAAGGACGAAAACGAAATGTTGTTTTTCATGGGTTTTGTATGGAAAATCAAATCTATGGAAGAAATGACGCCTAATCGTTGGTACATTGTACTTGAATCGTGCAAAGATTATGATCCTGACCTAATCACTTGTATCAAAAATGTAAACGGTGACTGTCCATTTTTAACCCTCGGCAATATTTTGCAGGAACTCGGTGACTCTGCAAATGCCAAAAATTTTTACCAACTTATTACTGAAGACGAGAGCTTCTCAGAAGAAACTCGTGGTCATGCCCATCATAATATTGCGATGTTAGCGGTTGAACGGGGTGAATATATGGATGGACTTATTCATCTTCGCGAAGCAGAAAAGTTGATTAAACAGACAGCAACACCGGATAGTAAAGCGCTTAATTCTCCACGATATTTCTTTTCACACAATATCATCTCATCTCGAATTCGTATATTGAACAATATAGGTCGCATATACTGGAGACAAGGCAAGTATGAAGCTGCTCGAGATCATTTTGCAAAGGCTTTTAACGAACCAGGTTTCGATACTGATAGAGCCGTGGTTCTAAACAACTATGGTCTACTCGAACATGAATGTAGAAATTATCAAAAAGCACATTATTATTTTAATGAAGCAGTTCAACTGGCCAAAAACGATGCATCTGTCACAGAGTTCAAGGAGAATCTTGAATTAACTAAAAAAATCTTGCACTCAAACAACAACGAACGCACAAATTGATACTATAGTCTACGACAAAAATTTAAGCCAGATGAGTTTTTTAATATTTTTTTTTATTATTTTCTTTTGATATTAAGAGGTACCGATCTGCATTAATTGATGATATAGATAGCACGAGAGGCCAGCTACATGATGTGTTATAGATTGAGGCTCTATCTGTCTATATAGATTTCTTCATAATTAAAATAATTTTTTTCTATGCAAAAATAGGTTTAATTGCTTTCAGTATTTCGCATTTCCTAACTAAGAGATGTGTGCTAAAATGAAAAAACAAATATCAATCGACAGAGAATTTCACGCTCTATCACTTTATAACAAAAATATTTT